TGAGGGTATAAAGTGCCTTGGTTTGTGGAATCTTTGCTTCAAACCATAGAGAACAGAAATTGGTTGATTATAGAAAGAGCAACAATAGAGGTTAAGAACCAAATCTGGAGCAGCCCTTGGTATTTAATTAGAACTGAATGTGGGAGGCAGGAGCAGTGACTGGAGGTACAGAAAGGTAAATTTCTGGGCAAAGATTTTATCTGCACTGTGATTATCCTTTAGCTAGCACATCGTACTGAGATATGAAGTTAAAAAACATACTGCCTTCTTCCAAAGCAGCTCGGGGTGAAGGGAAAAACAGTGGTTGAGAAATGGGAAGAGTGAAGCACTGCACTCACTACATATTGGCTGCGCACACCGAGGAAGGGGAGGACATTGTGTGTCCTATTGTACTACTCTCCACTTTCTTCCCTTGAGGCACTTGCTCTGAACCTGGAGCTTGTCATTTTTTAGCCTGGCTGACTGGTGAGCAGCCACAGCAATCTTCCTGTCTCCATTGCCTCCCTAACAGCTCCCACCCCCCACCCAGCTCTAGAGTTATAGGCATGGATGGTCATGCCTTACCCACCAAACCAACTTCTCAGCATTATAAATGTGTATTTTAAAAAACCTGGCAAAGATGGTACTTACCTCATGTTGACATTGTTACCTGAGAAAGATTTCTCTTGTGGGATGTTCTGAAGAGGACATTGGTTAGTTAGTGACAACAACCTTGACTTCCCAAACTTTGGTTTCTGCTACTGTATCTAAGGTTAACAGCAAGATTACATGAGGTGCCAGAGATGAAGCACCCAGCAGCCACTAGTGTGCTTACAGATTTTAGCAAAGGTTGCTGTCATTGGCGTGTAAGCACTGCACCATCTTTGCTAGGCTGGAGCTGATAGTTCCATTTCACACATGGAGACATATGATGTTACCCATCAAGTCTTCCATAGAAGTTTTATTTTGTCTGGTGAATTTTTAATTTTCTGGCTTGTGGAGTTGTTTAATTCTCCCAAAATGAGAGTCATCTGTGGTAGCAAAGTAGCTATCTGTGAAAGCTACCTTAACTTTGAATGGGTATAGAGTTACAAAGTGTAAGAGTTCTCTGCCCTGAAAACACCATTGTGATAATCTGAGGTATACAGTTAACACTGGCTATATTCAGGAATTGGGAGAACTGGATCTGACGGGTTCATGAAGTTCCTGTTAATAACTGGGGTGGAGCAGGTAAAGATGGAAGAAACAGGGATCAGCAGTGATGATCTGACATTCAGACATGGCCAAGAGAGCCGTGTTTTCTTCTCAGCAGGCCTGGCTGTAGTGTGGATTGTGAAGTATTTTGGAGACACTTAGATTGTGTTAGGAACTCCCACCATCTGTCAGAGAAAGGCATGTGGGGTATTTATTTGAACATGCAATACTGAGGCTCCTGCCAAACTGAGGATGCGGGGCCCTGTGACTATACACCTAAATGAATACTGTCAGTTGTGGATTCTTTAATTTCACTATGATTGTAAATTTTATTTTAATAACATTTAGAACACTTATGTCTTCTTTATGCATTAAAGCAATTTTTAAAAAGAAGTTTTATTCTCTATTTTCCATCATTTTTTGTAAGCAGTTTTTCATGAATTTCTAGCAGAGATTTTTTTTTTTAAACCTAAATGTTTCCTTATAATGAGCTTGTTAGCTACCCTGGTTTTTTTTGATCATCTTAACTGTTTTGTTTTGACTTCTGTGGTTTGCAAAGCTTGTCTGTCAAATTCCACCTTTTCTTTTCATACATTGAATAATAACTATACCCTCAACTTTTGTGGCTTCCCTAAGAGCTTGCATTTTATGAGTTATAATTTTAAAATAGCCATTACTCTTCATGACATTTCTGAGACAGGTAAAGATATTTTAATGAAAATAAACATTGAGATCTACTTATGATATTTTCAGCAACGATAGATTCTTTCCAGCAGTAATGCCATTTCTATTGATCAAGAAGACAGGAGCTCTGTGGGGGTAGTAAGAATGCTTTCATCTCATCTCATTTTACTTTTGGTGTTTTTGTTACTTGGCACATATGACTTATTAAATATTTGGCTATTCCTATTCACAGCATGCCCATCTCAGCCTGGTCCTTCAAAGCAAGACTGTCGTGTTTGTCTCCTCTTATGTGTAAAGAAGTTGAAGTAGAGAGAGATTAGAAATAATTAATAAAGCAACACACATTGTCCTCAAGTTCCTAAAGGTACCCTTTACCCAGAATCACTTTCCTTCTCCTCTTGTGACACAAGATCAAAAGGGAAAATGTAGCTACCAATGGATGTGTGATGAGAGGGAGGATGCTTTGTGTTTGTTCAGCTCAGTGCCATCATTTCCTGGGCTTCTTCCTGGGAGGCTGTATGTTCCTCACTGGGAATATTGTCTTTTATCATGCTGTAAGGAGCCCCACAAAGAGTTTATAGCTGTGAGAGTATTAGAGGACTGTGCCTTCCCAAATGTCATCAGTGACGGTATTAAAATGCCTAAGAGTGGGCATGTGGGACTAAGATCATTGGAACTCACTATGTAGACCAGGCTGGCCTTGAACTCACAGAGATCCACCTGCCTCTGCCTCCCGAATGCTGGGATTAAAGATGTATGCCACCATGCCTGGCTGAATTATACTCTTACAATGAATAGATTTATAGTTTGTAAATTATTCCTTAATAAACTAATAAAAATGCCCGGAATTTGGTATGTCTTTAAAGGAACCCCCTTGTCTACTTGACCAGGGTTCCATAGCACTCTGGAGTGCAGCCTCAAATCTGAAGGCCTCCTTACTGAGAAGAGCAGGGAAGGCTTGGGAAAAGGAGTTAGAGGGATGGGGACCAGCTGGATTTGCTACAGGGACCAAGTGAGAAGAATGGTACCACATATACAGACTATCTTTTAAATGACTTCATCAAATGTACTACACAGACCAGTTCATGTAGTAAACCTTACTCTGTCATGTTATCATGACTGATGTAGCTTAATTATTATTTTTCATAGTTGCCATTGTTTAATAATATATAGAAAGTATTCAGTGTGACTTTTTAAAATTAATAATATATAGAAAATATTCAGTGTGACATAAAAATTTCCTCTTTGCATGTGTGTGTGTGTGTGTGTGTGTGTATGTGATGTTTTTCTAATTTGTGAGTGAAGGCAACCAAGCTTTCAGTGTTTGATTTACTAAAGAAGTCGCTTGGCTCTGCTGACTTGTATTGTTGACACTTGAGATAAAGCTGGAAGGACTCCCTCAGTAACTGGAGCACAGGAAACAATTGACACTCTTTCTTAATTCACATTGTTTCTAAGACATTTCCTACTTCCTAGTACAATATAGCTTTCCCATGAGAACAATTTGCTTGTAAATGGTTAGACATGATAAATTTCTCATTGGCACACATTCTGTGGGGAGATTTTCGCTGTGCTTTTGCTGTTTCTGTGTTGGGTGTGGGCTTGCTGCTTCACGTGAACATGGTCCCACTTCATTCTAGGCATCAGGTGGTCAGGTGTCTGGTTTTTTTTGGCACGCTACCCCATTCACGTATGCTTCTTCATTCCGTAGTTGGGAGTCTTTTTCTTGAAATAGCATCTGATTCTTTTGACCTGCCAATTTAATTCATTTCATGAATTATGGTGTTTTTATGGTGCCTAGTGAATTACACAGAACGTAGTTCATAGCATTTGATAGTGGAAGGTGGTGTTGCATGGTGGTATATGATGTTTTCTATGGTGCTGTCAAGTGTCATCAAAGAATAATTCCAGAAATGGGAAATGAAACCCTTAGATGAGATAAACTAATCTAATTTGCACTTAAAAACTATTTAAATTCTTTCAAAATGATGTTTCCCACCTTCAGAAGTGATATTATATATGAAGTGAAAGTAAAAGTTTTTCGATTATAAAAAAAGATGTGTAACTTTGAGTCCTGGTTTTCCATCCTTTTGGATGCTGTCAGTTCCTTCTGTCTAGAGGGCTGAGCACTCTTCACGGCCTCTAGGAGTTACCTTCTCTTCAAGGCAATTTTTGCTGGGCTGAGTTTTATTTTTATCATTGCAGCAGCCAGATTTTAGAAACTTTTGGAAACGAAAAAAGAAAAATGAGAATGGCACTGTAGCTGACGTTCGTTTTAGCTGTTTCCTAGTGTGAACATTTGAGTATTTCTAAAATCTCTCCAAGAATGTCTTATTTTTCTCAGTTTGTCCCAGTTCTAAGACTCTATTCTGCTGATTGGATAAAAAAGTTATACTATAAAACCTTATTCCCAGCAAATGACTTTCTGAACTTTAGTTTTGTAACCCAGCAGCTTCTTTTGTCTTTGTTCCGGTTGGTGTAATCACAGGTCATGAAAAGTTAAACCAGGAATGGCCTCTAGGAGTTACCCAGTTTAAGCCCCTCACTATATAAATGTGACTGAGGATTCAAGAAGTTAAGAAGTGATGAGGCTGTGAATGCAGCTCAGTTGGTAGAGTGCTTGCCTACCATGTATGAAGCCCTGGATTCCATCCACAGCAGGTCATAAACAGGACATGGTAGTGGGAACTTGGGAGATGGACGTAGGAGTATTAGAAGTTCAAGGTCATCCTCAGCTATATGGCAAGTTTGAGGCTAGCTAGGGCTACATGAGACTGTCTCAACAAACACACAAACAAAAAGAAGTTCAATGAAGGTCATTTAGCTAACAGGTGGCAAAAATGTGGCCAGAATTAAGCATTCTTGATTTTCAATTTGATATGTTTTGATTTTCCCAAACAAAAGTGGTCTATGAGGACAGAGCTTGAGAACCTCCCTCACAGATTCAAGTGCCAGCCAATTGGTGGAATTATACTATAGCTAACTGAAGTTTGGGAAGAAATTCTGTATTTCCAGAATTCAATATTTTGAATTAGTCAAATACTGAATGATAACATCTCCCTTTTCTCTGGTCTCTGGATCTTGTGCAACTTGTGTAGAGTTAGCATAAATTGAAATGACAGGTGACTTGTTTCTTTCCTTAGGCCACCACACCATCTACATTGGGGTCCATGTGCCCAAGAGCTACAGAAGAAGGAGACGTCACAAGAGAAAGACAGGCCATAAGGAAAAGAAAGAAAAGGAGAGGATCTCTGAAAACTACTCAGACAAATCAGATGTAGAAAATGCTGATGAATCCAGCAGCAGCATCCTCAAGCCACTCAGTGAGTATTCTTGGCTCAGCACCTCTCTCTGCTTTACTGCTCATCATTGGAAAGATGCTTTCCAGAGTCTGTGGCTAATGTAAGAGGGAGTAAGGAATTCTGGGATGGACTGTTAAAAGAGTTATGTCTGTGGAGATGCTTTCCTTATGCTGACAGGTTGATATTAGGAGTTCATGTAGAAGATTCCGATTGATGGGAAAAGATCTGACCCAAGGCACAATTGGCTATCCTACGTGCTGATAAGTGAAACAGGGCATAGTTTTACAGATGATATAATATTTAACTATAGTAACCAACAGTAAAAAGAGCTATTTGGCTGGGCGAGGTGGCACATACCTTTAATCCCAGCAGAGACAGGTGAATCTCTCTGAGTACTAGTCCAGCTTGGAGCACATAAAGAAAAGAGTTCTTTGGATTGGTTCTGCTTAGAAATAGTTTCTGTTGAGACATGAGGTTAGGATAAGAGTGCATATGTGTGTATATTGATGCATCTTACCAAATGTCACAGTTGCAGGTGACATTTAACTTGATTGAGGGCTAGGTCAATGATTTAGAAAGGAGTAATGGGGGAGCATTGCATAGCTCAGAGTGGAATGCTGAGGGGCCCAGCTCTTGAAATGTTGAGTATAGTATATTTTGTGCATTGCATACAATGTTAAGACCAGAACAACAGCAGATCAAAGAATACTCCTGGACTCGAGTGACAGAATGGACTGTGGGTTTTAAACATATGTTTGGAGATTATTTGGCTATGTGTGAGGAGTCTTATGGGAGTGAGAATGAATCTGTACTCGAGAAACACATGCCAATTTTTGGAAGATTCCTCAAGGGGAGTTACTCAGTGACAGCTTTTGTGGTGACAGAGCTCTGTATATTCTTCGTCTCTGCTACAGTTGGAGAAATCCAGACCCTGAAATCAAAGCATTATGGGTGGCATGGATAAAGATCAAGTTCGGTCACTGCAAATGATGACAGGCCAAATTAGAATGAATAGCTTAGGGGTGTTGAAAAGTGAATTTACAGTATTAAATTAAAGATGGTGTGAAGTATAATGATGAAAATCTTTTATAGTCTTAACATTGGGCCTGAGCAGGTGGCTTAGCAAGCCAGAAAAATACCACGCTCAGAGGAGCGATACAGATGAGCCACTGAACTAAAGCTTAAATGTTGGAGGAGAATTTGGAGATGGATCACTACTCCATAAAGGTATTGGAGTAAGTAGGAGACAGGAAGGAACAGAGAAAAGTGACTAAAGCTATGTTCTTTTCATTGGAGTGTCAGGAGAACTCTTTCTTTTTCTCAAATGATCCTTCATGATATATCAACTAAGTCTTCATTTTGAACAAAGTCTTTGAAATGCATATAAAAATGGCCACAATGAATAGATTGAAGAAAAAAAAGAAAAACCATTACTATGGTTTGTTTCTATTTAGTGTTTATTTTGATATGACCTGAGCCAGTATCAAAGAAGGGCTGTCCCCAGTGCATGTGACAGATCCCTCCTCTCCTCTCCTTTCCCTTCCCCTTCCCTCTCCTCTTGTCCTCCTCCACCCCCCTCTTCCACTCCATTTCCTCCCTCTTTTGAAGGTATCTCTCATTCTTCAGTTAAGAACAAGAATGTGATATCACTATCTGCATTAAAAAGAAAGGTGCTTACCTAAACAAAAGGGCCAAGGGATTTAGATGTGATAATTATGCACCATTTTTTTAGGAAAGACAACGGAAGCAGTACCAGTAACTCAGGTAATAGGAAAGCACAGATCAGAAAGATCAGAGTCTGAATGTGTGTTAGTCATGAAATTGTTTCTCTCTGCGGCAGTTTGAATATAGCATGTAAAATAAGCAAGGCAGTTCATTCTGAGGGCAAATTCCCAGAGGTCTCTTTCTGGGGCATACTGCTTTGTGTCCTCTGCTAGGTTTTCTAAATGTTGTTGACAGTTCTGAAGGACCTGCATTCAGTGACTGCAGGAATTTTCTTGTGTTTTTAAAAGACAGGGTCTTATGTAGCCCAGATTGACCTTGAGCTTGCTTTGTAGCCAAGGATGATCTTAAACTTCTGAACCTTCTGCCTTCACCTCCTGAGGTGCTGATTACAGGTATGCACTACCGTACCTGGTTAATGTCATGCTATGGGTTGACTTATGTATGTCAGGCAAGCATTCTACCAATTGAGCTACATTCCTAGCCCAGAGATTTTTATTATAAATGTGCATTTCATAATTGTTTTTTTCCTGCTGGTCATGAAATATTTGGCATGAGCCAAATATTTGATGTGAAGTCCCTTCAGGAACTGCTAGTAGTTTCTCTGCTGCTTACTTTGGAGAGTAGGTAGAATGGCAGTTGGTCTACCTGATGCAGTTCTACTTAAAAGTTCGAATGGTTGCATCCTAATGTAGAAATCTTTGAGGAAGCCACAGGGTTCTGGCACCATCATGACAATAAAATTTTGAGAAAACTTAGTGAAATATCTGCTTCATGATCCATTGTTGTCTCCAACAACTGCCATGTGTAGTTGCCGCTATTCTTGAATCCAGGATGTCTGAGTTACTTACATCTATATAGCTGTTGTGCCCTACAGATGAGATGTTTACATGTGCTGGTTGTGAATCATGTGCTGATTATATTTCCTGAGGGAAAAAACAACCAAGCACCTCACAGATAAATAGTAACTGGATGAGAGGCATCTCCAAGTTTTGCTGTGCTTGCATCCCCATAGGCAATTCAGTGACTTCTGTTGGGTCTGTGTCTGAATACTCACTTTGTCCACTCCTTTCCACCTGAGCTGCTCTGTTTTGGTCTGCAGAGCTGTCATGTTTTGCTTAGGCAACTGCAGCAGCCTTTGCTGTTAGTCTTTCTCCACTCAGAGGCAACATTGGTCATGATGAAGTATGAATCAGGTTGTGCCACTCCTGTGCAGAGAGCTTCCCATTGCCCTTCAAGAATCATCTCAACTGTGCATTCTGGCCCACAGCATCACTCCAGCCTGCATGGCGCCATTCTCTTTGCTCACATGATTCCAAACATACTGAGGTTTTAGATCCTTGCTCCTGAGCCTCAGGGCCTTTCACTTGCAAGCTCAGCTTTCTGGGATGGCTACACCATTCTTATCTCCATTAGCTTTTTTCTTTATCCTCTAGTTTTACAATGTTGCCGCTGCAGAGAGGCCTTTCTGACCACTCTAACGCTGAAGTCCAGTGTTGTCCTTCTCTGTTCCATATTTGTTTCCTTCATGATACATGTTTCAACTAGCAGTTTTTCAGCTTATAATTTGTTTTCAATGAATGCTAGATGGTAAGTTTTATGGCGGCAAAAGTCAGGTGTGTCCTATTCATTAACTATGACCCTTAGAACTGTGCAGGATCCATAGAATGTGCTTAATTACATGTTCACTGAAGGACATTTGAATGACTAGATTACTAAAGAGGAAAAACATAAGCCTTGTGTCCTAGTTTGTTCTTCATTGCTGTGACAAAATACTCTGACCAATACCAACTTGGGGAGGAAAGGGTTTATTCAGCTTTCATCTCCAAGGTCACAGTTCATCAGGAAGCCCAAGGTAGGAACTCAGGGCAGGAACCTGGAAGCAGGAGCTAAACCTGGAAGCAGTAGCTGGAGCACAGGCCATGGAGGAATGCTGCTTACTAGCTTGCTTCCTTGGCCCCTGCTCAGCCTGCTTTCTTATGCAACACAGGCCCACCTGCCCAGGGGTGGCACCACCCACAGTGGGCTGGACCCTCCCACATCACTCATCAAGATGCCCTTCAGACATGGCCATGGGCCAGTCCAATAGAGGCAATTTCCCAATTGAGGCTCCCTCAACCCAGGTGTGTCAAGTTGACACTAAAGCTTTCCAGCACACCCTGCTTTTATTGTTGTGTTTCCCACACCTCAACAATCCAGCTCTTTCTGTCTCCACACATCATCTTTTGGTTTCCCTGCATTGCCTTCCTCCCTTGCTGTGTAAGATCAGGCCCTAACTTTGAATTGTCCCACTTCAGAAGATGCCTCGTTATTTCAGTTGTTGCCAATATGGTGTTTTGGTTTGTGTAGATGGCTCCTGAGTGTATGTACTGCCTGTTAGATGTAGGTGATGGAAGAAATTGATCCACAGAGCCCATACATTTGTCTTGTACACTTTGAGTGCTCATTACTGCACTTGAAAAGCCATAGTCAAGAGACAGGGAACTGAATACTCAAAGGCAGTTCTAAGGAGAAATCATCCAGGCACATCAGGAAGATGACATAATTAACAGGTTCATTTAGCTTAGAATAGAGATGCTTTTTATTTTTCCCATCACTCTGGCATCAAGATAGTGTTCCTAAAAAGTAGATGTGTATTTGATCCTTACATATTTGCAGCCGTGAAGGGAAGCCAGCCAGCCAGCTTCACATCCCTCCTGAGCTCAGCAGTAGCCCTAAGTCTTTTCATGACTTCTATTCCCAGTGTGGTGTTAGGGCTGGTGTCCCATCTGGGGATACAGGGAAAGAGATATGTGTGAGAGTGTGGTGCCCTGAGTGATGGGGAGAGAAAGGCTGTGGAGGAAAAGTGAACTGGAAGAACAGGCAGGAGAGACAGGGAATGAGGAGGTGGTGTGGAGTGGGTGGAGGAGAGAAAAGTTAGATTGTGCTCTTTCTTAAAAATAATCCTTTTACCTCCTCCACCGTGCACTTTTCCCTCCAAGTTAGCAGCTGCCATCCTCTGAGGCTTGCCCCCAAAGCAGCAGAAAGATGGTCCTGGCTGCTGGGATCGAGAAACACAGCTCAGCTGCCCACTATTAATGGCTTTGGCCTCTGCTCCTCATGTTTTGTTAGTGTCCTGGAATGTTTATGGAAGCACCACAGGCCACTTTGTGACTGCGGAGTCTGTGAAGCTGTGTGAAATGTTAGACACAACTGCAAGCTGAGCATATTGATCTGCTGTGTGGTGTGTTTCTGGACAGCCAGAACCTGCATGGGTGCAGAGGTGCTGGCTGCCTTCTGTACACAAGTCTGCCGTGATG